GGCAAGGGTCCAATTTCATCCTTTTGCATATGGCCACCCCATTTTCTTAGCACAATTTATTGAAATGATGATCCTTTTTCTATTAAACATAAGTCACTTAACCATACATATGAGGCTTTTTTTCTCAGTTTTCTGTTTTACTCCATTGGAGTCTTTATGCCATATTACACTTTTTATTACTCTACTCTTATAATAAAACTTGAAATCAGAAAGTGTAAGCTCTCCAGCTGAGTGTTAATTTGCTTTACATTGCTGGGACAAAACACCTGAGATAAACAACATTAAAGGAAAAAAGGTTTAGTTTGGTTCAGTTCTGTTCATTGTCATTCGGTTCATGACGAAATAGCACATTATGGCAGGGAACACATGGAGCAAAGAGGCTTCTCGTGGAAAACAGGAAGCTAAGAGAGAAGAAAGGGCCAGAACCCCAATATACCCTTCAAAGACACATCCCTAGTGACCTACTTCCTCCAATTAGGACATACCTGCTAATGTTTCTACTATCTCTCCATGGTACCACTGTCTGGGAACCAGGCCTTGAATACATAAACTTATGGTACATCCCAGATCTAAATTATAACAAGCTGGTGTTTTATCAAGATTGCTTTATTTAGAATCCATTGACATTCTCTGTGAGTTTTAGAATTTATGTTTTTTTTCTTTCTTTTTTCTTTTTCTCTTCCTTCTTTTGTTTGAACTCAGGACATGCCCATTGTCCCTGAGCTTTTGTGTTCAAGGCCAGTGTTTTAACACCTGAGTCACAGATCTATTTTCAGAATGAGTTATTCTATTTTGTAAAAACTGTTTTGAAATTTTGATAAAGATTGACTTCTTAGGGGATAGTACTGAATGCAGGATATATTTCTGTAAATTTGGTATTAAATTTTTTTCAATATTTTGAAGTTTTTATTGTATTTTGTAGTTTTTATTTACCTTCTTTTAATTTCTACTATTGTATTCTTACATTGTGGTAAGTAGAATTACTTTTTATTTTTATTTTTGTTTATATATATGTATAGTGTGTGTGTGTGTGTATGCTGGTACTGGCACTACTTGAACTTGGAACCTGGGAGCTGTATTTCAGCTTTTTTTGCTTAAGACTGGCATGCTACCACTTGAGCCACATCTTCACTTCTGACTTTTCTTTCCAGTTAAGTGGAGTTAAGAGTCAAGAACTTTTCTTCTTGGGCTGGCTATGAACTTTGATCCTCAGATCTCAGTTTCCTGAGCAGCTAGAATTACAGGGGTAAATCACTGGCCTCTGGCTAGATTTACTTTTTTTTTATTGTGAAAATACCATACAGAGGGGTTACAATTACATGGGCAAGATATTGAGTACATTTCTTATCAAGCATTGTCGCCTCCTCTTTTGTTTCCCCTTCCCATTCCTTCCTGTCTCCCCCCCACCCCCCATCCCACCCCCTCTTTTAATTTCCTTTTCATATTGTTCATTGTTAGTGTATAGAAATGCAACTGATTTTGTATAGTAGCTTTTCATCTTTCTACTTGACTGAATTTACTAGTTTAGCAAGGTTTTGTGGAATCTAAGTTGTATACACGTAAGATTATATTATCTTCAAACAGAAATAATTTTGCTTCTTTTTTCCCAGGGTAGATTTTTGTTTCATTTTCTTGCTTATTACTCCTGTTAGAATTTCTAGTCCTGTGCTGAGTAGGAATTACTAAAATGAACATTTTGATTTGTTTCTAATCTTAAAGGAAAAGCTCTATCATTTGAGCCCCAGTGCCACTTCCAGCTTTTTCTGCAATTAATTGGAGATAACAGTCTGCCTAGGCTGCCTTCAAATTGTGATCCCTAGATCTCAGCCTCCTGAGAGGCTAGGATTACAGGTGTGAGCCACCAGTGCCCAGCTGTGGAAAAGCTTTTTTACTTATATTTTTTGTGGATTTTTCATGCATGACTTTATGATATAGACATGATTTCTTTCTATTTCCAATTTATTACATATGAATAGCTGTTTTTTTATGCTTTTTCTTTCAATTCTAAACAAGTACTAAAAGTATACTTATGCACAAAATTACAATGATACAGATTTCTCTACTTGTTCATATATTTTTCTTGGCTGGAGAACTTTACATTTTCATATGGCAATGTAGGGCAACTTCAGCTTTTGTTTATGGAGAGAAGTCTTAATTTCTCCCTTTATGATGGGCAATTTTGACCTGCTGATTATCTTGTTATCAGTTTGAATATATCATCCCACTACTTTCTGGTCCATCTACTTTCTGGCCCATTTCTACTGAGGCATTCACTGATAAGCTCACAGACTCTTCTTGCTATGCTATGAGCTATTTTTCTCATACTGTTTTCAAGATTATCTCTTTGTGTTTCTAATTTTGACAATTTGTTTAGAATGTCCCTGTAAAGGTCTTTTTTAGTTTTTTTCTCCTAGTTGGATTTTGTTGCCTCTTTATTCCCTCAAATTGTGAAATTTTCAGCCACTATTTTTCAAGTAAGTTCTTCTTTTCCTCTCTATCTCCTTTCTCCTTTTAAAACTCCCAGAATGCCTAAACATCCATTTGATGATGTCCCATGAATCCTGTAGGCTCTCTTCACTTTCCTTCTTTCTTATTTTAATCTTCTGATCTGATAATCTCAAGTTTACTGATGTTTCTTTTGCTTGACTACATCTGGCATTGAATCTTTCTAGTGAGTTTTTAATTCAGTTATTATATATTTTAGCTCTCTTTAAAAACATTTTAATCTCTTTTTAAATATTCTCAGTCTGTCCATATATCCTTATTTTAACTTCATTTATTTGTGTTCTTTTTTTTATCAAACTGAGAATCTTTAAAACAATTGACAATTGTATTAAACTTTCTGTCAGGTAATTTGGACAGCTGCACATCTTTGGGGTCAATTTCTGTAGATGGACTGCTTCTCTGAATGAGCTGTTTCTTTGTGCATAGCTTTATGTTCTTTTATTAAGATTGGGACATTTGAAAAACAACCACTTCTTTCAGTCTTTATGGACTGAGTCAGTGCAAGAGAAAATATTCATTCACCCATTATCTTGGCTCCCGAAGAGGCCATGTGAACTCTCAAACATTTTCTGAGCTTACATCTTCTCTGGGATTTTTGAATATGTTTTAATTCCAAAATGCATGATAGAGGGCTGGGAAATTGGCTCAGTGGTAGAGCGCTTGCCTTGCATGCCTGAGGCCCTGGGTTCGATTCCTCAGCACCACATAAGCAAAAAGAAAAAAGCTGGAAGTGGTGCTGTGGCTCAAGTGGTAGAGCGCTCGCCTTGAGCTGAAGAGCTGAGGGACAGCGCCCAGGCCCAGAGTTCAGACCCCACGACTGGACCCAAAAAAAAAAAAAATGCATGATAGTTTCTGGCTCTCTTAATATTCCCAAGAGGCTTGTTCTTACTTTTGCTTGAGAATGTTCAGATTTCAATTCCTATTGTATTTTTTTCACTCTTACTTGCTGATGCCTATTGGTGGTAATATGGATTCCCTGCTATTGACCTGCTGCAGTTCTTAAGTCTATTTTCAGTATGGCAGCCAATACTTAAACTATGTTTGTGGATGTTGGTCATAGGACTTGAACTCTGGGCCTGGGCACTTTCCCTGAGCTCTTCAGCTCACAGCGAGCACTCTACCACTTGAACCACAGCACCACTTCCGGTTTTCTGGTGGTTAATTGGAGATGAGTCTCATGGACTTTCTTGCCCTGGCTGGCTTTGAACCAGGATCCTCAGCTCTCAGCCTCCAGGGTACCTAGGATTACAGGCTCCCGGCTTGCATTACCACTCTTCAATCCCAGGACTTCGGAGTTTTCTTCCAGATACTGCTGCACCTCACTGAGTAGGGAGAAACGATAGGGAACGTAAAGTATCACAAACTTTAATTCACTTTCAGTGGTATTTTTTCTTGTCTATGTGTTTACCAGGATTATTACCTTTCCAGTTGGCTTTGGAATCAGCATAAAGGTATTTTCAACTGTTCTACTATTATTTCAACATTTTCATATGAGAATACTAAACTAGGAAGCTATTGAAGCTTCCTAACTACCATCTTGCTGATGTTACTCCTATTGATTTTTTTAAAACACTCTGGCCTTTTATTTGCTTAAGGCTAGCTGCTGCAGGCACTGGGGCCCCCAGATCTGCAGAAGAGATAGAGGAAGGAAGGGCAAACCACTTTGCCCTCAGGGAGGGACTATTTTTTCCGACCCTGCTTCCTTTAGGAAGTGGGAAGATAAAATCTACATTTATGCTGTCAAGTCCCTCACCCAGGCTTCAAAGACTATAAACAGCTGTTGTGGAAGAGGAAATTGAGGTACATCAACCCATGGGCTACTATTGGTCATTCCAAAGTTAGGCTACTTCCTCCTGCTCTGCACCCAGTTGTAGGCAGCTTAAGGAAGGTCTCAGGAGTCCATCTGGCTTGGGGGGCGGGGGGAAGAGCAGTCAGGGTCTAGGGCTGGAGGAGAGCAGGAGGAGGGGTGTGGCTGGGAGAGCATCTGCTGAGTGTGGGGAGAGGGTCAACACTGAATAGGGAACCCCAGAGGCAGGGCCCTCTGCTGTCCAGATGGGGAAACTGAGGCAAAGACTTACAATCTTTGAGAAAGGTAGGGCCTTCTATCAGTTATTCTAGTCCATTCATCTTCCCTATGAAGACGGCCCAGGAGCAGGGGTGCCTTGTCCGCAGTCACTCAGCACTTCGATTAAGACACAAAGTGGAAGGCAGCTGAGTCACCTGGGTAGAAGGCACCCTCCACTCCTAACACACCAGAGGAGTGCTCTCCCCCACCGCAGCTGCCAGAGGACCTCTGGGCTCAGGGTTGCCTGTTCCCCAGATGCCCAACTGCGTGCCCTGCAGAGAAGAGCTCATTTTAGCACCTGGCCTCTGTTCCCTGCCTAGAGGGAGATCAGGGGATCCAGGGAGTAAAGAAGCAATGAAAGGGGACGGGAAGCCTGGAAGTGGGGCCCAAGGGGATGTGTGGTTTGGTTCTTCCCTCATAAGGGTGCCCAACCTGAGAGGGGCCCTCATCCACCAAGCAGCGGGGAGATGAAGAGGACGCTGTCCTGGTCCTGTAGCTGGTAGTCCAGCTCCCCCAGAAGTTCCCAGTCAGCAGCGTTCATCAGCACCAGAATTCCTGGCTGCATGCTGTCTCCCAGGAGGAATAGCTCTGGCTGCTCTTTGAGCAGATTCTTCTTGATCCAGACAAGGAGATACCGAATGTCCCCGGGCTCCTCCCGCCCAGGCAAGGTGACTTGATGCTTCTTTATTCCATCAAACAGGAGCTCAGCACCACCTCCAAACTCCCCCTCCACTGACAAGGGCGCCGTCATGATGAGGAAGCCAAGCTAACAGGAAACGCCCTCCACTGCCGGTGTTCCTACTGATATTTAATAAAAAAAAAAAGACAATTCAATGAGGTAAATCATAATATTTTCATTAACTGGCCTATAATGATTAGATTTACATATTATAAAAAGGCAAATCTTTACCCATATGTTATAGTTTGAATATGAAGTATTACCCCAAAAATTCATGTGTTGAGGGCTTAGTTACCAGCTGGTAGATCAAACCGATTAGAGGTGATTAGATCACTAGGTATAATCCACTGATGGATTCTTAATATAAATACACCATTGGGAGTTAGTAAAAGCTTTCAGAGGTGAGTTCTGGTCGGAGAAAATAGGCCTATGTGCATGTGCTCTTGGGGGCTATATCTCGTCCTAGATGTGAAATGAGCTTATCCACCATAAAATGAGCTGCTTGGCTCCACTACCCTCTTCTACTAAGATATTGTACTTCACCACAGGCTCCTAGTGATGGGGCAAAGCAACCACACACTGAAAACTCTGAAACTATGAACCAAAATAAAGCTTTATTACCTTGTTTCTGCCAAGTGTTTTCTCACAGCAGAAAACAAAGCTGAAAGGAAATGGGGAAGATGGATGGAGAGAGGAATAGTGGGCAAATGCAGTCATAATGATCATATATGAAAACAGAACCAGCTTACTTGAGAGGATGAATGGGATTGGGAGAGGTGAGGGTGAATGATGGAAGAGTAATATTGATCAAGGTTCATTTTACTGATAAACTGATAGTTGTTAAAAGTAGTTATAAGTAGTTATACAAAGTTACAAGTAGTTATACAAAGGGTAATATTGATCAAGTTGCATTTTTACTCACAAACTGATAGGTTGTTAAGTAGTTACACAAAGGGGTATATAACTACTTGTATAACTACTTAAAATATAACTACTTGTATAAGTACTTAAAATAATATAAACTTACTAGTACTATACACAAGTATATACACTAGTATATACTTGTACTATACACTAGTACTATACACAAATTTGCAAATTCAGTTTTAGTTAAAATTGTAAAATCTAAAAGTAGGAAACTGTTAGAAGAAATCAAAGTAGATCTTTGTACTTTGGGTCAAAGGTCTCTTTTACATAAACCCATATGCTTAATCAATGGAAGAAACACAGCAATTTTTTCTGGAAACTGGGCTTATTTATTTATTTTTTATTGTGTTATTGCTGTTTTAGAGGTGATATACAGTGGGGTTACCCATACATACATCAAGTGGTAAGTACATTTCTTTCCTTTTGCTTAGTATCAGCTGTTCCCTCGTTCTCTCCCTCCCATCTCCACCCATTGTAAAGGTGATGTACAGAGGGGTTACAGTTACATTAGTAAGCTAATGAGTACATTTCTTGTCTAACATTGTTACCCCCCCCTCCCTGGTGTTCTCCACTTTCCCTTCCATTTTACTCCCCTCCCCCCAAGTTGTAAAGTTCATTTCTAACATAGTGTCTTGTGAGTATCACTGTTGCATTGGTTCGACCTTTGTCCTTTGTCTCATCATTTTGTTATTCCCCCTCCCTTCCAAACCAGATAAACATATATACAAAACACAGGGTACTAAAATAAAAAAAAGCAGTGACAACAGGGAGAAAACAAAGGGAAACAAAGAATGAAAAAAGAAATAACTTCACACAGTAAATTTATTTATTTATTTTGGTCAGTTGTGGGGCCTGAACTCTGGGCCTGGGCACTATCTCTCAGCTCAAGGCTCAAGGCTAGCACTCTACCACTTGAGCCACAGTGCCACTTCTGGCTTTTTCTGCTTATGTGGTGCGGAGGAATTGAACCCAGGGCCTCATGCATACAAGGAAAGTACTACCACAGAGCCACTTTCCAAGCCCCCACACAGTACATTTTTAAATTTAAAAAAAACCCTCATGTTTCCATTTATTGGAGTTCAATTTGCATCATTTATATGGTCAAATGTACACAGCTATTGAGCTATTATGATCCTCTGCTAAGACTATCCTAGACACACACTAATTATTAAAAATGATGGAAATCATGGAGCCTATGTTTCCTAGGGTCTGGCTTACTTTACAATATGATTTTTCCAAATCTTTCCATTTCCTGAGAAGCATCTGGGTGGGTTCCATATCTTTTTTTTTCTTTTTCTTTTTTATTGTGAGAATACCGTACAGAGGAGTCACAATTACGTGGGCAAGATAACGAGTACATTTCTCATCAAGCATTGTTGCCTCCTCTTTGTTTCCCCTTCTCATCCCTTCCCATACTTCCTCCACCTCCCCCACCCAGCCCTCCCCCTCTCAAAGTTGTAAAGTTTGTTTTTCCACATAACTGACTTGTACATTAGCTATGGTAAATAATTCTTCAAAGAACATAAGTGTGCTGGTAGCTTTAGTGTGGTCTTGTTTGTGATCATTTGGATAAATGTTCATGAGTGAGATTGCTGGAACATAGACAAGCTCTATGTTTAGTCTTTTTTTTTTGTCAGTCATGGGTCTTGAGCTCTGGGCCTGGGCACTGTCCCTGAGCTCTTCAGCTCAAGGTGAGTGCTCTACCACTTGAGCCACAGCACCACTTATTATGTTTAATCTTTTGAGGAACCTCCATACTGCTTTTCAGAGTGGTTGAACCAGTTTACAATCCCACTAACAGTGTAGTAGCTTTCCATTTTGATCATATCCCCATCAGCATCTGTTATTATTTGTTTTCTTGATAATGGCCATTCTAACTGGGGTGAGGTGAAATCTCAATGTAGTTTTGATTTGCATTTCTTTTCTGGCTGGAGATGTTGAACATTTCTTCATATAACTCTTGGCTATTCTTATTTCCTCTCCAGAGAAATCTTTAATTCTTTAGCCAAGTTATTAATGGGGGTGGTTGTTTCTTTGAAGATTTGTTGTGGGGGGGTAATTTTTTGAGCCCTATGTATATTTTTTTTAATTTTTTATTGTAAAGAGACTATACAGAGGGTTACAGTTACATGAGCAAGAGCAAGGTAATGAGTATACTTCCTATTGAGCATTGTTACCCCCTCCATTGTTTTCCCCCTGCCAACCCTTCCCTCCCTACCTTCCCTGAGGTTCTTTTTTTTTAAATTGTGATTAAGTGATTACATAATTTCCCAAATTTCACAGTATTGTGGAATAATGATGCTCATTTAAAGTCACAAGTTCATTCTAACTTTCCTGGAGCAAATTTTCTATCACAGTCTATAACATATAACGGTGTACACATGTACCCCATACATGTGATCAACAGCATGGGAATATTTAGTAGTGGTTTGACCAGATGAGTGGGAGTTCTTTGTTTCTTAAGTCCTGTTAATTTTGTAGTATCACCTAACATTTTGGATTTAGCATCCACTTATCAGGGAGACCATGTACCGTTTGTCTCTTTGCTCTTGGCTTACCTCGCTCAACATGATTCCTTCTAGCTCCATCCATTTCCCTGCAAATGCCATTATTTTGTCATTTCTAATGGCTGCATAATATTCCATTGTGTATAGACACCACAATTTTTGGATCCATTCATCTGTGGTGGGGCATCTGGGTTGTTTCCATATCCTAGCTATTGTGAACAGTGCTGCAATAAACAATAAACATGGAGGTGCACGTGTCCTTGTATATTGGTTCCTGTTGTTCAGGGTAGATGCCTAGAAGTGGTATGACTGGGTCGTAAGGGAGGTCAATCTTTAGCTTTCTAAGGACCCTCCAGACTGCTTTCCAAAGTGGTTGTATAAATGTACATTCCCACCAGCAGTGTAATAGGGTTCCTCTTTCTCCACATCCCCTCCAGCATTTGTCGTTGGCTGATTTGTGGATGTGGGACATTCTGACTGGGGTAAGGTGGTATCTCAGGGTTGTCTTTATTTGCATTTCCTTCACCACCAGGGATGATGAACATTTCCTCATGTGTTTCTTTGCCATTTTTATTTCTTTATTTGAGAAGTTCCTCTTTAGTTCCCTTGCCCATTTAGTAATTGGTTTGTTAGGTTTGGGAGGGATTAGTTTCTTGAGTTCCCTGTATATACAGGATGTTAACCCCTTGTCTGATATATTGCTGGTAAATATTTTTTCCCAATTAGTTGGTTGTCTTTCTAGCTTGGTTGCGATAGATTTAGCTGTGCAGAAGCTTTTTATTTTAAGGTAGTCCCATTTGTCGAGTCTCTCTCCAATTTGTTGTGACCCTGGGACTCTGTTCAGGAAGTTCCTTCCTGTGCCTATTAGTTCAAGTGTCTCTCCTACTCTGTCCTGCAATAGTTTCAGAGATTCAGGTTTAATGTTAAGGTCTTTAATCCATTTTGAGTTGATGTTGGTGCATGGTGATAGGCTGGGGTCCACTTTTAGTTTTCTGCCTGTGGCCGCCCAGTTTTCCCAGCACCAGTGGTTGAAGAGGCTGTGTTTCTTCCATTGTATATCTTTGGCTCCTTTGTCAAATATCAGCTGGCTGTAGGCCTGTGGATTTATTTCTGGATCTTCTATTCTGTTCCATTGGTCTTCGGGTCTGTTTTTGTGCCAGCACCATGCTGTCTTTGTTATTACAGCTCTGTAGTAGAGTTTGAAGTTCAGCATGGATATCCCTCCCATCTTGTCTTTATTCCTATGTATATTTTTAATATGAGGCCCTTGTCTGTACTATAGCTGGTGATGATCTTGTTCCAATCTGTGTGCTTTCTATTTATCTTGCTACCTATGTCCTTTGCTATGCAGAAGCTCAACGTTTATCCAGCCTTTCTTTGATTTGTTGTGTTTCTGGATCTTTATTTGGGTAGTTTCACCCTGAGCCCTAATGCATCCCCTATCCCTTCCTGTAATATTTTCAGAGTCTCCGCTTTTACCTCAATGCCTTTGATCCATTTGGAGTTGATTCTGGTTCAGGGTGATATATAAGGATCTAACTTCGTTTTTTTTTTACACATGTAGACTCAATTCTTCCAGCACCATTAGTTGAAGAGGCTATCTTTCTTTCATCTGATGATTTTGTCTCCCTTATCAAAGATGAG